CACAAATTACAAATTCTTTTTTCAATGGGAGTTTTTGGCTGTGTGTGCCTTCCTTTTTCAATAGCCAAACAATGGTTACTTGTTCGGAAGCGTGACATGCAGACTTGATGTTTTTTCGGAAGACAATTTAAGTATGACTCAAAATTATAAGTGTTTTTGAATTTTGCATATGTTTTGCATGTGTTTTATTTGTAGTGTATTGTTGCACCGTTTGATGCAGTGTTGCTGCAATGTATGACTGCGGGGACATGTTGTGGTGTAGAACGCAGTGGCACTGCTATTTATGACACATACAATAATACTACTGAATGCATCAATGTGTTGCCCACTACTACTGTAGTTTAAAAAAAACAACGTATTTTCTATTTTAAAATATCTGCTGTACTTCGTGTAATATAATTTTATGGGAATAGTTTAAAGCACGGTGGTCGTCACGCAGCGCATGTTCGAATTTCATGTAAATAAACAATGTATTTTACACCCATTGTATACGTCGCTATGAGTCCCATATCGAACATGACGCGGCGGGACGACTTCCGTCCTTTAAAGATTTCTAAAAGGTATCCGAAAATTGTGTTTTAGTTGTTGAATGTGCAATTTAAAATTAAAAGATAACAATACAGTAAAAATTAAATTAGGTATATAAATATCAGGGCTTGAAATTTTTTATGAAAACCCACTAGCCCAGGACGGGTCACTAAGATAATCAACTAGCCCTGCCCAAGAAATCACTAGCCCTCAATATTATTGTCATCAATTTTTATTATTATGACACAGTGTACATACAGTATTGTATTTTTTAATGTGCATTTGGTATTTACTTATGAATCTAACTTTGAAGAACTGTCCAATAATATGTTATCAATTTGATCATCCGTATTTACTTTATTTTTTAATTTATGTCCACAAATGTGTCTCTTGCGAATACTGCTCTCTAGCCATTGGGTTATGCTACTATCTGGATTAAAGTCCTTCAGTGCAGGCCCTTCAAGCATGATCATTAACTGATTGCGTAGAGACTCCTGTGTCAGTGAAGTTCTTAGCTGAGTTTTAATGATGTTCTGCTTTGAGAAAGCTCTCTCACAGCTGGCTGTACTGGGTGACACAGCCATTACAAATTCTACAAGTTTCAGCATATCAGTCAGATGAGGCGGCTTTATTTGCAACATCAAGCTATATATATTTACAAGTTTTGCTGTACGCCATTGTCTGCAATGTACCTTCAATGCAGGCCACTGATGAATAATTCTATCTCTCTCACCTTCTGAAAAATATGTGTGTAGGTAATCCATAAGTAGTTGTGAAAGCTCATCGTTACCATATGCAGCTAGAAGTTGGTTATCTATTGGCCACTTCTGAAAGTTAAATATCATGAGAAGTGAAATTGGCTTTTCCTCCAATATTTCAAACCGTTTTTTAATGTACTTTATTGTGCTGTCAACAACTTTGTCTATGTATGTTGCATCAAATGCACTACTCGGTTGTCTTCCCTGTGACTTGTGAAGTTTAATGTTACCAAACATCAGTGTTTCATCATTGAAATTGTCATTGAACTCATTCATATTCTTGCCAGGATATGCTTTTAATGCATTCAATGCCAGGTAAGTCTCTTCTAGTCTGTCTGGTATTTCCATTATTAAAAGTTTCTCCTCTTGGAATACCTTGGATAGATTTGCTAATATAGGTAAGTAATCAAGCAGGAAATGGAGCAGTCTTACAAACTTGATTGCAGTGATAGTTCTGTGGTAGCCCTTTGCACGGCTTGAATTATCAGTACTGGAATTTTTATCTGTACTAGCATGTTCCAGGTAAGTCACAACAGCCTCATAATTGTTCTTGATAGCTTTTACTGCTCGCTCCTTACTGGATAGCCAGCGTACTTGCTTCACTCCGCTTATGTGAGACAGGTCATGTTCCAAAACATCAGAAATGTCTTTCAGCTCTCTTCTTCTTTTAGGTGAGTAGTGGTAAAACATGAAGAGTCCTTTCAGGGTTTCCTCAAAATTACCCATGACAGCCAGATTATCTTTGTTAGCATCTAGAACTGCTAGCTCTAATTTATGAGCAATGCACTGTAAGGATATCAGGGCAGGATTTATGTCAGTTAATTTTTTTGTAACACCATTTTTATTACCAAAATTCACTGACGCACCATCAAAATTAGCCATTACCAAGCTTTGCTTAATTTCCTCATTATCAGGCTTGAGTTTTTCAAAACTAAGTCCAACCTGTGATAACCCAGTATCTAATGCTTGCAAAATACCATCAGAATTTGCTGCTTCTAGTGGTACAATATCAACTTGTCTACATACTGGCATGCTATCAGTGGGATTCACATATCTCAGAAAAACAATCTCCTGCTCTATCACAGCTGCATCAGTTGACCCATCACCAAGAATGCTAAGAAAGTTAACCTCCATTATCTCATCTTGTATAATTTTCTTCAGACATTCAACAATAGAATTTAGAAACATTTTAAAGCTGGCTATATTTCTATAATTTTCTCCTATTTGTAGGCCATTTAGCTCCTGAACTTCACACATCATTTCAAAGTCAGAAAATGGTTTTCCTCTTTTCGCAATTGCATAAGCAGTTCTAAATAACTTTCTCAGTTTCTACCTCTGATCGACATTTAATTTTGTTACTGCCTTGCCTATAGGGGTTTCTGTCAACAGATTTGGGCATATGTTAGCCTGGTAGTTTTTTTCTGCAACTTTTTTTGCCCCAACATCACGAAAATAGCGACGAGTACATGCCATGTGTTCTTTTGTTTTTTCATGTGATTTCAATGGATCCAACCGGAAGTTTGTTGTCCCTTTAAATAGCGGACTGCTTTTATCGGCCAAATCAGGGTATTGCTTACAATAAATGCAAAACATGACATCATCTTTATGACTTATCCATGGGCGTTCATCAGACCATGCCGGAATGAAATGACGTTTCCTTTTGTGCCTGTCATATTTTTGGTCACGCGTTAGCGTTACCGTATCTCCACAATTTTCACCTGATGACGTTGATGTAGGAGTTGGCAGTGCGGCCGTCGACGGTTGAGGCTCATTGGAGTTTTTGTCAAACTCTAAATGTTGTCCTACAACTGCTGAAGACACTTCAGTCTGCATACCAAGGCCTGGTTCGTCATTTTTTGGGACTTTAGCCCATAGACTTGTCAATGTTCGTTGCATCGCAGTGCTTACAAAATGACATATACAAAAGGAGGTCACAGTTCATCAGGCAACACGTGGTAAAACATTTGACTGTTTCAAAATGGCTTACATGTGCAACATTGGGACGGTTTCAAGGTACTCCATGCCGTGATGTCATTGAATAGGTCATCTGATACTATACATGCGCAGTGAGTTTATGGAATACGGAAGTATTCGTTGTAATATTTTCTCGCGTTATCTGGGCAAAAATTGCTAATTAGGGCAACCAAACTGATGGGTTTAACCGAAAAACTGCTGTTACACGAACCAGATGACAAATTAATTAAAAAAAGTGATTTTTTTCAGGCAGTCCGTCGGACTAGTAACGTTCATAACTGAATGGTCCGGCAAGCAAATTCATTAGCCCGAGCGATCGGGCTACCGTAATTTTCAAGCCCTGTTAGCAATATATTTATATCATTAGCAAAACAGTCGGGCACAATAAATTTAGCTAGATTCAACTTAGCTTGCTTTCAAATCTAATACATGTTTAAATTGAGCAAAAATATGTATTATATCATTAATATATCATTAAAAAATAAATATATACAAACATGGTATCAGCAACTTAGTCATGTCCCAAAAAACGGAAATTCAGGAAACAAACTAAGAACGTATAATTTGTTTAAAATGGAATATGAATTTGAAGGATATTTAACAGAAATTCAGACTTCAATTTGAGAAGAATGGTTACCAAGTTTCGACTTAGTGACCATAATTTGGAAATAGAATTGGGCAGAGAAAATTTCCAAGAATGAGCAAATTACAGATTGTGTAAAAATGCACACAGGTACTG